TAGATGACAGAGCCTCAATCCTGTTCTCTAGCAGGACAGCATACTGGTGAAAACTGACCGGTAAACGGGCCATTACAATAGAGCGCCATATGTGCTGCGACAGGAAGAGTCCAGTGTGCTACTGGAAGGAATGGGGGGCCACCTCGCCCAGACTAGGAGAGCAGGGAAGGCTACCCAAAGATGATGCCTGAGCCAAGACACATAGAATATGAGTTGGATAGGGCATGGAGCAGAGGGCAGAGTGTGTGCCAAGACAGAGAAGGGGAAGTGCAGTGCATTCAAAGACCTGGGTTTAGGGCAGGGTGACTGAAATAGCAGAGTGGAGGGGTCTAGTGAGGGAAGGCTTCCAGGAAAGGGAAGGTTTGGTCAGACATTTGAAGCAGGGGTATAGGGGGACCTTCTAGGCTGGGTACGTGCTTTAGGGTTCAAAGACAACCAGTAGAAGGAGCAGGTTGTGTGTAGGGCCAAGACAGACATATACTGGACCAGAACAGAGTCACAATATCAAAATGGCAAGCAAAAAGAACAAAGATGCTAAAAACCAGACAGGAGAGGATGGATTCAGTACACCAACATGGGGAATAGGTGAGGTGAAGAATTTGAAAAGAACCAGGAACATGAGACCCCAGGTGTCTGCTTCTCCCAGATTCTAGCACAAGATAGGCCTACGCTCCACAGAAGCCCTGGAAGAAAAGTCAGAGAAGTTTCACACTTACAGGCGCCAGGGAGTGGGGACTAGGAACAACAGCAAGTGCTGCTGAGACCTCCAGCCTCCTTTCCCAGCGCACTTCCAGCATGCTATCAGCAGGTGCTTTACCTCCCGACAAGAGACTGGAGGACTCTTCTCTAGGACAGTGGCTCATAAAGACTACACATTTTGATAAATAATTATCTATAATAATAAAAGCACAATATGCTAATTAGACCGGATGTCCTCCCGGACTAAGCCAGAGCTGCAGCCACCATGGCTGCGAGGGAGGGATCCAGGCAGCTTTGCATGAAGGCCACCCTTGCATGAATTTCGTGCATTGGGCCTCTAGTTAAATATAAAAAGTAAAGTCTTTCCAGAAATGCTTCTTTAATGAGGTAGATGGTTCCCTTCCCCCATTAATTCCTATATCCATAATTAATAATTCTTGTTTTTAGAATGAGACAAGATTCAGCATCACTTAAGCTTATTTTTTGGTTCTACAGACATAGGCATGAGAAAATGTGTTCATATAAATAGTAGATATGCCCGGAAGGAATTTTGCTATGGTGTCACTCAGTTCTCCTCCTGAATTAAATACTAATAAATACATAGTGTTCTATCATTAAAGATTATTTTTAATGACCTGCCAATCAACAACTCAGTAGGGTCTTCTTTAATTTTGTTGCAAGGAAATAGTTGGAAATCTGATTGAAAAAGGCTTGGTTATCTAGCTATGGGAAACACTGACTTTAAATGTTACCTTTTCACTTTGAGGCATTTTGTCTAATTCATTTACTCAGAAAGAGTTGGGAATGTAAGAATTTTAATTGTACATACCTTTGCCTGTATAATTATATTTGCTAAAAATGTTATTTTGCTATTTTGACAGTTCAAGAAGCCATCCCATGAAAGAATGTGTCACAACCTTGGATATTTCTTACCAAAACTCTTTGCTTTGTTCTCTGGAAATCTTCCTTAAGAGCTCTGCATTTAAAAAAAATAATTGTGCCCCAACCGGTTTGGCTCAGTGGATAGAGCATCAGCCTGCGGATTGAAGGGTCCCAGGTTCAATTCTGGTCAAGGGCATGTACTTTGGTTGCAGGCACATCCCCAGTCAGGGGTGTGCGGGAGGCAGCTGATCAATGTTTCTCTCTCATCAATGTTTCTAACTCTTTATCCTTCTCCCTTCCTTTCTGTAAAAAAATCAATAAAATATATTTAAAAAAAATAATTGTAAGAAGTGGAAAAAAGTCCTTATTTAAGTAAAACTAATATCCAGAATTGTCCTTTTGTTGGCATCCTAAAGACACGTACAGCTTGGGACAATATACCATGTTTCTATGGTACTACTCATAAGATGCTCCTTTTCCGTAGTGGGGAAGGGTGACAGTGAAAGTAGAGGTAGAAAATAAAAACCAGCATTGAGGTGCACTCACAAGCATTTCAATTTTTAAGGACAGAGGGAAAGTGATGACCTGAAAAATGACTCCTGTAAAACTATCTGTGCTCATGTACCTCCTGAAGGAGTATGTGAATTCATCCCAGTTGGAAGACCACCTAGTCATACCAAGAAACTGGAAAACATCATCTGCAGGAAGCTGGGGATTGTACAGGGTAATGCAAAGGAGAGCTTACCGGGCAATCACTCCAAAATGGACTTAGAGGATGGAGGACTCTAGGACAGATGTCTCCAATAAAGACATGGAACTGATAGATTACTTGATGTACTTTATGGCACTGAGCAAGACCATACAACTTTGTTGGAGTTTGGGGGTTTCATTCTTCACCATTATTTATTGACTAGAGGCCCGGTGCTTGAATTTGTGCACAGGTGGGGTCCCTTGGCCTGGCTGGCAATCGGGGCTGATCGGGCCATTTCCCCCAGTTCCTATCAGGGTGGTCAGGGCTGGCCAGCTGGCCTGAAGGAGAGGGGGGAGGGACAGCAGAAGCTTGGCCGGCTTGGGAGAGGGACTTCGGGAGATTGGCCGGCCAGGGGGAGAGGGGAGGGACAGCGGGAGGTTGGCCGGCCGGGGGGGCCGGCCGGGGGGATGGGGAGGACTGTGGGAGCGCACTGACCACCAGGGGGCAGCTCCTGTGTTGAGCGTCTGCCCCCTGGTAGTCAGTGAGTGTCATAGTGACTGGTCAACTGATCGTTGGGGCATAACGGACACTCAGGCTTTTATATATATAGATGACCTTGGTAAAGCTTAGCAGTTAGCCTGCTGAGAAAATAAATGTGGTGCTGCTGGTTGAAGAAAAACACCCGAGTATAAGTGGACCCATGCAATTCAAATCTGCTGTTTAAGGATCAACTGTACAAAATCCTGGCCCCATCCTATATACATAGCACTGGGAGACAGGGGTCAGATAATTCCTGGAATCTGCATTTTAAACAAACACTCAGAGGATTTTTACTAACTTTTGAGTTTGAAAGTAATTGCTTTAAGTCCTTAAATGGAGGTGATGAATTGTAACTGGAAGTCAGATCCCCTTTCTACTCTGTGGAGCAGCCCTTGCAGGCTCCAGCTCCAATTTTGCATCAGGCATATTGTGGAGTATTTGAGGCTCAGGGTTCTTCCAGGGCTAGGTTTCCTGGGACCCTTCCTTTTCTGCCACGGTGATTTAACTCAGTCTTGGGACTACAGAGAAATCAATTTTTTATTTCCTTCTCCTCCTTTCTCCAAAACAGTATCGTCCTTTGAATTTTAACAGATATTAAATCAATGCAGACATCCTGTTAGACCTTTAATCTTCTTCAAACAGATGCTACCTATGCTTTAAAAATTTCAATTAAACCAAGATTTATTAAACACTCATGCAAGGCTCTACCTACATTGGTGCTATAGCCCACATTATTATTAATACCTTTTTAAATATATTTTTATTGATTTTAGAGAGGAAGGAAGAGGGAGAGAAACATCGATGAGAGACAATCATTGATTGGCTGCCTTCTGCATGCCGCTACTGGGGATCGAGCCCACAACCCGGGCATGTGCCTTTGACTGAAATTGAACCTGGGACCCTTCAGTCCGCAGGCCAACACTCTATCCACTGAGCAAAATCAGCTTGGGCACAGCCCACATTATTGAAACAAAGACTGAAATGCTCTGATTATGGCAGCAATTAGAAGCTCTTCATCTCAGTCCAATGCCCCAGCACATGCAGTGCATTTTCACAATGCACAGGAAAGCAGGAGTGTCAAGGCACTTGGATTACATTATGGGTGTTTCAATTTCAGGGACTTCTGAGAACCCAAGATAAAGCTGATATGGATCAAACCCTTTGGGAGCAGCTCTTCTTAGAGCACTAAAATGAAGGACCAACCCAAATCCTTTCCAAGTAAGGGTCCTACCATCTGAGGGACAGATGACTGGCCATGTGCCTGCACATCTGGTTGCCTCCACAATGAGTAAGGACATTGTCTAGACATTTAAATCACAACAGGAAAAAAGTCTTTCTCTACTGCTAGCAACTTGTTCCATTAGTAAGTAAGAAAATTAAAGATTTCCCACTTTTTAGGAAGCACTTTGGTACTTACACTTATTTAAGAGCAATTTTTATGAGCAGATCTCAGGAAGTCTCAGCACAAATTGTAATGCTTCAAAGCCTTCTTTTTGAAAAACTTTGGGTAATAACTTTCATTTTGGCAAACAACCTTATTTGTTGCTACTCATACTTGCAACAAACTTAGGCTGTTAAAAATTTTGTTTTTTCTTAGAAAACTGTAATTCAGAGTCAAGCCTGACAATAAAAAGAAATGGAGTTGAGGAGTAATATCAGTTTTTCAAGGTTGACCTTAAAGTCCCCGGTGATGGGTTACTATTTTTTAATTAGGAAGAACATAAAGAAACTGGGATAGATTTTTTTTTTTAATTAAGGGAAAGAAAGAAGAAGAAGGGTAAAGAAAGAGTTATTGACTTGTTAGTTGGTTTAGGTCTTTATGTATTCATTTGGTTTCTTCTTCCTAACTGCACAGTCTGGGTCACAACACACTTGTGCCAAATTCCACACACAGATCCTGATTTGCATAGCTCTCCTTTATGTCAAAAAAAAAAAAATCAGGACAAAGTCTTGTGGGGGAGGATGCAAAGAAAGAATGGAGAATATTCTAGCTGATGAAAGTGCTTTAACCATCCTTTTGCAGATTCCAAAGACTGTCTTTCTAAAAGCACTCTCTAATATTCTTATTTTAGCATTCTCTTTCAGCATACCTTGGTTTCCAAGTACTTCTGAAGTGTAATTAAAATGGAGTATAAAGTGAATTTATTGTTTCCCCCCTAGTTTTAAAATGAGAAGCTGAAACTCTATATTTAATATTATTATTATATTTTAATATAGAGTAAAATCAGGAGTGCAGAGTCCCGCATCAGAGCCAGAGCCAGAATGCGGGTGAAAAGGTGTTGAATAAGGCAGCAAATTACAGTTTTTGTAAACCAGGTTTATATATTTAAGAACAACCAGGGCAGAGAGAATTAAAGAAGCAAAAAAGATGGGTAAAAAAAGTGACAAACAATTATGCATATACACACACCACCACCCCAAAATTCTGGCTTATGAAATCCAAGAATTCTAATTTATAATTCATGTAAATGTGTTGCTATGGAACTTATTTTTACTTCTCTCCATAAATACATTGTTGACACAAAGAATAATATTCTTAGTTTATAGACTATAGTTAAGAGACATTTCAGGAGTTAACTTTTCCTTTAAAAAACAAGCAAACCCGAAGAGGCTACAAATCTTTCTTACTGCCTTTGTGCAGGTCTTAGATTTCACCTTACCCATTTCCAAACAGGTAACAGTGATCGTGCAGACAGCTTTACCTAAAGAGTGAAGGATTTAGTGAGCTGTCAATTTCTTGCAGAATTCTTCTCTTCTGGTACTGCTGTTCTCTATGTATTATTAATCTATTTATATTTAACTCCAGCCATTAGTCCTCCTCTTCCAGCCACTGAACCATTTTCAAAGGAGAGGAGAGGGAACAAGGGTTGCTATTATTAGGTATCCTTGTGTGTGATGAGGGTGGAGATAATTAAATAACACAATTTTGCTTCTTTGAAAATGACAAAGATTGTTTGGGGTAGACAACTCAGGGCTGGTTAACATAACCTTTCCCCTCCAGAAGGTAAAACAATAGAGATACATTTTTGAAGTGCTTAATTAAGCCTTCAGCAAGGAGTGTGGGAAAATTACAGACCCAAAAACGCTCCAGTTCTAGGCAGGAGTAAATTTTCTCTGCAGCACTCTGTCACTGCTCATTTACTGCATCATTTTGACAACATCTCATATTTCCATAAGGCTTTTACATAATCTATAAACAGGGACAGAAAGGTGAGGAACAGAGAGAATGGGGACAAAGTTCAGACCTCCCGCACTGTCAGTTCCTTTTAGTTTTCCATTAAAGGGTGAGGGTGAAGGGTGGCATTTTAAGATGATTTCATTAAAAGGCTGAGACATTAATAATTGACACAGCCAGAAGAATGCTGTGAAAAATTGCCACTGCTTTCTCACTCTTCCAAAGGATGCACATAATTCAGTCGTAATGAAGGCCCTTCAATGTTCCTCCCCAAAACCTCTTTCGATCAGGAAAGCCTGGAGTCTGTAGGCAAGAAAGATAATCACAATAAGTCTCAAGTAGGCAGAGTTCAAATGCTAATAGCCTTTAAATTTTTTTTCTTTAAAATGTCTGTCTATTGTTCCTGAGAGAACCACCAGTCTGTGGTTTTACTCAGAAAACCACAGCAGACTAAATAATAAAAATACATTTTCCCAAAATGGAAAACATTTGCCAACAAATTGGTGACAGGGTCATCTAAATCAGAGAGGATGAAGGTGAATCTCAGAATATTCATCTACTGGACTTTACATGAATTATTTGCTTGTAATAGACTTCGGTTATATATCTTTGGTGTCTCAAGCAAACGATTTTATTTTATTATGTTATAATGTAACCTTATTCCTGGATTATTTATTTATTTATTTATTTATTTATTTATTTATTTATTTATTTATTTATTTATTTATTTCTTGTCTCTTGGACTCTTTCCCTTGATCTTAAAAAAAAATCAGTTGCTTGTGCTTACAAAGGGACTTCCCCTACTTTTTTTTTTTAACCATTTCTGAAAATAAATTTGGAAATCACCTCTCTACAAATTTAAGAACCCATTTTATAAAGAAAAGATAGATACTGACCTGATTACTGTCTCTTAAAAAGTATCTCTTTTCTATGACCTGTGAGAAACAAAGATTTTAAGAGTTTAGTACACAGATCTGGAAAAAGTGGCTAATTGTAATGGCCATTCAGGGGACTAAAAGGCATATATCCAAATTAAGAGTCTTTTCAATAGATATAGGCATCTGGTACAGTGAGTTGAATCTGGTGCTAATGGGATCAGGATTGTAGGATTATTTCCTAAGAGCCTGCCTCATTCCAGAAAGTACTAATAGATTAAAAAAATAAATGAAAAAATAAATTTAAAAAATGACTAAGTAATCAGAGAATGACATTTGATCCATGCAATGTTTTTTTCCCCATGCAATTTTTAGTATACTAGAGGCCTGGTGCATGAAAATTCATGCACTGGAGGGGGGGGGGGTCCCTCAGACCAGCCTGCCCCCTCTCACAGACCGGGAGCCCTCAGGGGAGGGAGGCAATCAGGAGAAGGCGACGCCCCATCACAGCTCTGCTGCTGCTGCCACTGCTGGCAGTGCAAGCCTCGGGCTGGCCCTGGGCCACTGGGCAGCCGCCATCCAAGGCTTGCCTGCGCCTCGGGCTGGCCTTGGGTAGCTGGGGGGCTGAGGGGACTGGGGACTCTGGAAGCAAGTGGGGCTGAGGGGACTGGGTGCCTCCATCTTGTGGCTGTGGGTGCCACCATCTTTGATGGCGTGGCAGTCAATTAGCATATTCCCTCCTTATTGGCTGTGGGCGCCACCATCTTTGTGATGGTGTGATGGTCAATTAGCATATTCCCTCTTTATTAGATAGGATAAGAGGAAATTTGGCCCTAAGCTTCCCAGCAGTCAGTCCTAAAAGGTACCAAACAGAATTCATAAGAAAAATGCAAAGCACCTGCCTACTAATAGTACAGCTATTCCTTAAAGAGGAGTCTGTGTAATGCAATGAACCATCACATCCCTATAGCAAAAACAGTGATAAATTCTATAGAGCCTCCATGGAGACAGATGACACAACATCAACAGTGTCAATTAGTGTCTTTTTATGGATTTAATCTGCACCCGTAATTCAGCAGTTTCAGAACCGTCTGTATTTGGTCAACAGGAGAAACACAGTAAAGCAGTGGGTGCATCTGCACAAATCCATCACTTCTATGATAAAGAAACCCTCAAACGGCATGCCCTAAATTGTGAGTTTAAGGAGCACCACGTTTTCATATTATGAAACACATTTTAAAAAATAACAAATTCTGTTCTAACACTTGAGAAACTACAATGATTGCATAGGCAGTATTGTTTTCTTTAGCCAGAGCTGTTGTGATTAAGAAAATGTAATCAATAAGATACAGATTAGCTGGAGATTAAGACACTGGAATCTAGAATTATGAAAATAAAAATTCCTCTGAATAAATGTTGAGCATCTTCTTCCAGGCCTGTGTCAGCTTACTCTAACTGGCCTGACAGCCAAAATAGCTGGATTTTTCTATCTTAGAGACTATGGCTGAGTCACGGTTAGCCACAAGAGACCTGGGGTAAGGTTACATTCACTGGCCCCTGAGGTAGGAAAGCTGGTTCATGATCAATATACATCTCAAAATACTTGGTCTTAGAGAAAGCAAGAAGGGACTGATTCTCTTTCCTTTCTCTGGGGCAGGACAGGAAAATCCTATCATTCTAGAGTAGGGAAGAATTACTACTAGCCAAGGGAGTCTGGAGGAGGAGTCAGATTCCCTCTTGGAAAAGAAATCTTTACATTAAATTCTTGGGGCCCTGGCCAGTGTGGCTCAGTTGGTTGGAGGGTAGTCTGGTACACCACAGGGTTGCAGGTTCAATTCCTGATCAGGGCACATTCCTGGGTTGCAGGTTTGATCCCTAGTCGAGGCGGGTACAGGAGGCAACCAACGGATGTTTCTCTCTCACATAGATGTTTCTCTCCATCTTCCCTTCTCCCTCTAAAATCAATGGAGGGAAAATTCTCACAGATATGATGTATAGAAAACTGGGTGAAATTTAGCTGCCATATCCCTTGGTTTCTGGCAACCACCTCAGTCTGGAGGTCTGGCCAACCTCCTAATCCACATACCTTTGGTTGTGATTTAGGCAATGACGAGAGAAGTTACCTTTTTGCTTTTGCTTATAACTCCCTGCCCTCAACTTGCAATGTCCTCTTGTTAAATCTTGCTCTCTTCTTAAAACTCATCAAGTTCCCTCTGATTTTTTAAGAATAAAATCTTGCCCTGGCTGGCTTGGCTCAGTGGATAGAGCGTCAGTCTGTGGACTGAGGGGTCCCAGGTTCGATTCTGGCCAAGGGCACATGCCTGGGTTGCGGGCTCGATCCCTAGTAGGGGGTGTGCAGGAGGCAGCCAATCAATGATTCTCTCTCATCACTGATGTTTCTATCTCTCTCTCTCCTTCTCCTTTCCTCTCTGAAATCAATAAAGAAAAAAAAAAAGCCTTGACAGACAACTTGGGTCCCATTAGTCTATAACCCATTGTTTCTCTAAGATATAACATTACATTTAATATTTCAATTCTAAAATTATTAAATTATTTAAAATTTTAAACAGTATATTGTGAGATCTTTCCATGTCAGACACAGATCTATAAGATGTTGCTCTTAGGGGATAGTATTTTGTATCAGATGGGATCAGGGATCTAAACTAAATCAAAGTTCTTACATTTTAAGTTTGAAAACAATGTGAACAGAAAATGTGGTTCCTTGCAGTGCATCCCATTTAGAAAATGCTAATATTTGTACAGCACACTGGGGTAAATGGAAGAGGTTGCCAATCACCCAGCCCGAGGGGCTCTGCTGCTCAGAGAAATGAGTGGATCAATATCTCAGTACAGCTGTACCCTATTTGCGACACACCAGTTGGAAAGTTCTGCAATGAAGCAAAAATTTCCCCGTGATCTCATTAAATAGGGAGGGTGTGGGGCTTTATCTCTGCTGACATATTGGATAAAGGGCCAAATATTAAATCCCTAAATTGCTAAAAGAAAAATGATTCATAAAGAAGATCTATGAGAAAAATGTTTCTTGGAAGATTACACTTAAAAGGAAATATAATACAGAAATTAATCTTTTTCAATAGCATACAGAAATACATCCTATTTTACTTTACTACAACTGTCAGCATTGGGCAAGCAACTTAAGCTCAGTCAATACTACGTGCAATGCAGCTGTAAGGACTTGTGAAAGAAAGACAAACAGTGCTCTAATTTACTAGCATGCTGAGTCATTCTACATTTTCATTCTACAATAAGATGATGCTAGCAAGAGTCAATAACTTTAATGCAAAAGTTTCTGATAGGGAAACAATAGGGAATCAAGAAGATTACCTTAAAAGTAATAGTAAGAACTATTAATAGCTGGGAGAGCAAAATGAACTTAGGGCTTTAACTAAGTAGAATCTCCTCAGTTCACTGTCTTGTAGGGCTTAGGGGTGAATAAGTACAAAAAGAGATAGAAATTAGGGAAACATAAATAGTTCTAAGAAGTGGAATTAGGTATCTTATTAAAAAACCCCATTTAAATTCAGTAGCTTTCATCCTTTGCTAGAGAACACTGGTGATAGTATAAATACGTCAGCAGGCCTTGAGCAATTATACCAACAGATAAGAGAGATCAAAACAAGTATTATTCAGCCTGTGACATTCAGGATGAAGGCATAAAAGGACAAAGCATTCTATAAAAAAATTTAAATTCTCATAATATATAAATTAAATTTAAAAATAACTTAATTGAGGCCATTACCTTATCAAAAAACCTACTGAGCTTGACAGCATTAGAAGAACCAGCAGCTAAGTACCGTGGATTTGTGCAATCCTAGAAGATAAAACATAAGAGCTACGATTAAAAGCTAGAGAACATAGCTCTTGTTAGTTATCAATGTTCCTGTTGCACATTTCTATAGTAAAATATTAGGCATAATACTCTCATAAAATTCATGTTATTTTTAAATTATGATGCACACAGCATAGAGGGAAGTGCTAAAGGAAGATAAGGACACTTTCTGTTATTTGAGCAATTTTAGAAGACACTGAACCAATATGTACATCAATTAATTCACAAAGGAAGACAGGATTACTAATATCTTACGAATACAACCAAGATACTAATCAGGTGACGCACCTACATTTACCCTGAAAAGCAGAAATAAAGCCATTAAAAAGTCAACACTTTACTTTTTAGCACTAGTTACTCACCAGTGCTCAACTAAGTTCTATGCAGTTCATACAAATAGTAGGAAGCACGAAAATAAGAAGTTAAGAGGAGCAAAGAACAAACATAACAGTTGCCAGGGATTTCTCACACACTGAACACAAGCCAATACATCTCTTGGTAGGCCATAAAGGTGATAATAAATAATAGATATATTTTTTATAATAATAGACAATGTTATTATTAAATATCATTAAGCATTATTATTAACACTAGTTAGAGAAACAATAATGAACAAGAGATATATTACTATTAAATAGGATTTTTAAAAATGGAGCCCAGAGGAAACAAAACAATCTGGAACATTAAATCATTATAATGACTAGTAAAGACCTTAAAAGGCTTACTATCCTTTTATTGAAATTCCAGGGTTGTGTTGCCTTTGCTTGTCATTACTGACTTGCCTCCTTAAGAGACAGAATATTTTGATTTCTAACTCAAATGGCACGTAAGACCAAACTATGAGGATATCATGTAGGCTGCTTTACAAGAATGATATTTGTCTTTCAAGCTGTGTCCCTTGGGATATTCTGAAATTATTGGTGTTGCATTTATTGATTTGTACTCTCTAAGCCCACATGACTCCTTTCCAATAAATTTTGTAACAGTCACTTATTTTATCCATATATAACATTTCAAGGCTCACATTTTTAATTTTGGCCAGAATCTATAATACATTTTCAAAACCACAAAAAAAGAGAGACTCTAACAAATGTTTCAAAGATCACAGAATACTAGAAGCCAGCAAGCTCTGAATCTTTGAATATCTGTCTCTACATTTCTAGACTGTGTGACATTGGTTAGGTTACTAAATCTTTAAAGTGTAGTTCATTTATGAAATGGGGATAACGATACTTATCCCATAGGATTTCTGTGAAAATTAAATGAGTTAATGCATGTCTGGAACATAGCAGGTACTGAAATATTAGTTCCCTTCTCTCTTCATTCCAAGAAAATGCTATTCAGACTGAATTTTCAGATACAAGCACCTAATATAAAAGATAATTCCATATATAGATTAAATAAGCTGAAATATTATTATGCAAACTAATGTATTTGAAATAATGTTTGAACACATTTATACAGCAGTTGGGGCATATAAGAGACAAACCTTAGATGGACCTGTGTTAGATGTTTAACAAAATGGATACTAATTAAATAGTCATCAGAATGTTAAAAGACTTCGAAGATGATTCCAAATAGAGCCGCAGTACTAAATACAAAATCTAAACCAAGTAGCAAACAAATAAACAAAACCTCCCAAAAACTTAATTCTAAGGCTGCACAATTTAAGCTTGACCAGGCTAGAGAAATTCTATGATTTCAGGATAAGAATTTTAAGGCTGAAAGAGCCATCCATTATTGATCACGGCTGAGAGCAAAACCTGAAAATTAATAGCTCTAAATAGCTTGTCTAAGCTTGAGAAAGGAATAATAACCAGGGAAGATGCTTTAATATGACCATTTTGAAATAAATGCATAACAGAGAAAAAAATTGTACCAGACACAATAAGCCTAACAGGATTTGAAAAAAGTAAGTAATCTTCTCCCTATCTAGAATTTAAACACTGACATTTTTCAGGTACAAGATGATAACTCTGATTCCTTCTTTGATGTATACATATAGTAACTAAAGATACTAGCACTAATATTGTTACACTAGTTTATTATTTGAGGCTTTATATTTACTTGCTGAGTCTTTTTGATTATCTCTTTTTGAAATTCTTAACCAATTTTCCTCATTTTTAGTTCCCTGTATACTCAAGACCCCCTTGTTGCTCCTGCTGTGTCCTCGAGGCCATACACGGATAGAAGGCCAAAAGTATGTTGTATGTGAACTCTGTGGAGACTGTGTGTGCCAAAGTATCACCATTTGAGTACCTTTACATCTTGTTAACAATTGGCCCTGACTTTGCAAATAAAGTAGGAAATCATACATTTAACCACTATAAACAGATACTTCCCAAAACACATTGAAAGTAATTAATGGAACAAATTAAGTATATGTAATGGTAAATTTCACTTTGGAAATAATTTTCAAAGGAAGTAACCTCAGCATTATATATTATATTATAGGCCTGGTGCATGGATTCATGCATGGGTGGGGTCTCTCAGCCTGGCCTACCCCCTCTCTCAATCCGGTACCCCTTGGGGGATGTCGACTGGCCTGCAGGGATCGGGCCGAAACTGGCAGTCTGACATCCCGCAAGGGGTGTAGCAGTGCCGAAGGGGAAGGTGGCCGGGAAGGAGCCCGAGCTGGGGCTGGGCGCCCCGCGGCTACGTAGCACTGCTGTGGAAGTGGAAGAGGCTCCACTCGCCAGCGGTGAGCCTGGCTTCTGGCTGACTGGCGCTCCTGCTGTGGGAGTGTACTGACCACCAGGGGGCAGCTCCTATGTTGAGCATCTGCCCCCTGGTGGTCAGTGTGTGTCATAGCAACTGGTCATTCCGGTCAACCGGTCGTAATGGTCGCTTAGGCTTTTATATATAGAGATCATATATTCTAAAGAGCAGGAATCTTCTGTAACCTATGGTCCAGTGCTGACCACCAGGGGCATTTACATTGAATATTCCATGGTGGCAGTTGAGAGAAATAAGGTACCTTAACTGCCAAGTAGAATGTAAGAGAAGCTGATTCAATTATGGGGGTAAAGGTGGTTGAACCAAAGCAGTGTTCACAAATGTTGACTCTCAGAGTAAGGGCATTAGAATCACCTGAGTTATTTGTTAAACTAGAGTCCTGGTCCTCCTGCCAGACCTTATGAATAAAAAGCTCCTGCTATGGAGCAGTTATTAAAAAATTTTCACAGGTACTGTTGGCTGGTAATATGAATATGCAGTCAGCTTTGGGTAATTGTTAATCTAGGTGATTTCTAAGAGTTCTTTCCAAGATTCTATACGTTAATTGTAGGAAAATTAAGTGGAAAATAGGGTTAATTGTACAGCACAGGCTCTGAAGTCAGAGTGCCTGCTTTGACTGGTAACTATGGCCTAGTTACCTCTCTCTGCTACTAGTCTTCATCTTTAAAATGGGGATAATAATAATGCCTACTTTATAGAGATGATATGAAGAGAATGCATGTGAGATAACGTATGTAAATAAGCAGAACAGTGCTTGGCTTGTAAATAATAAATGGTAGCAACTGGTATTATTAAACCACTACGACCACCACATGTCTGAATGCCAGTGCACCATATATGCTGCACAAATCCTACTTGTGAGCAATGACATATCTTTCTCTGGGCAACACCAACTGGTTTATATGAGGACTTTCCTTAGCCTTTTTAGCACCAAATTCTAATCGAGTTAAATATCTCAGGAAGGGATTCAATCGTCCGTATACACATAAGAGTATAGAAACTAATGCCTATGAAGCACTCCTGGTTTATAGATTGTAGTTTTTTCACTTGTCTAGTTGTTTGCCCTTTAAGGTAAATTCTGTAATTTAAAACACTAAGAGGCTTTTCTAAAGCAAGAATAATCAAGGTACAGTATCACAATCTTTCTTTGTCACCTTAAGTTACTTATTTTGACTTTAGGGTGATTTTTAAAAATCTTTTAAAGAAAAAGCCCATGATTTTTACATTATTCATAGAACAAAGTTTAAACATTCCAACAGATCAGCATATAAAGAGATTGAAGTGACTGCCCATCTGACAGTCTATGTTGATTCCAATTAGCACCATATTTTGGAGTAGAACCAAAATAGCCTGCCTTCAAGTATAAAGCTTCTTTTGGGAAAATATATGACTTGTGAAGTCTTCAGGTTCACTTTCAACTGACAATAATACAAACATGCATTAGTGAAAATACACACCAAATTAATCTCTTCTGCATTGAAATCCTCAGCCAGGAAAGCAGTCCTAGTTAAAACTTCATGGCGCTTGGTTTCATGAATCTGATCCAGTTTAGTCCCTATTACCAAGAGTGGGATTTGGTTCTCAGCAAACTGTTCCTGGTCATAATCCCTGTGATAAATAATGAAGAGGTGAATAGAATTTACCTTTTTGATGTAGATGTATAATATTTAAATGCAACTAGCTTATACTATTTTACTGATCATTCACTGACTCACCTATAAACCTATTTTTCTCCTAATTTCTTCCACCTACTTGTTTATTTAACAATCCATCCTCACCATCTACAGAGTTCCAACTATTTATCTAACTACTCAAAATTTGTGCCCATGAGTCCTTATAGACTACTTGGATAACTGAGTGCCCACCAGGTATACCAAGGTAGGTTGAGTTGACTTCTCCCAAAGCTCTATCTCCTAAGGCTCAGGAATTTTTCTGTATAGATGCACAGAGTGGATTCAAACCTCAGTGTAAAGGAAACCCCGGAAACTAGCATGGCACTCAAGCCTTGTGTCAGAGGGGAAAATGACAAGCTTCTGGGTATCTGCAAGGCTATAAATAAACTCTATACTACCATACATATTTCTGTCTATGAATTACAATGAAAAATAGATTGTTCAAGGAAAACAGGAAATAGGGATGCTAAAGGCCAGAATAAATCAACCATTAAGATGGTTTCAATACATGGAAAGGGAAGAAACAGCTAAACCACAAAATGAATAGTAAAAGGGAAGAATTGAATACCAAACAGTTGTTTGTCCTGATATGAGAGCTGTGGGAGACAGAGGACAGGGAGACCAAGGACAAGCAATACAAATCCCTTAGGGTCACTGTATAACCTTGGGCTAGTTACCTCTCTTTTTTGGTACAATAACAATTGTACCAGCACTACAGTTCTTTACAATTCTTTTTTTCTATTTCTACCAAAAGGATAGAGTGGTATTCCTTCTATAACTAAAAGGAACATAGAGCCCAACGTTGTTGAATTAATTTAAATTCTATTCACATATGAGAAATAAAAGGTTTGGATTTTTGACATGTTATAAGCTCAATTTACAATGGTCAGCAAAATCTGGTTTCAAATACCTGATGACAGTAAATCAATATTGCACAATCCAATCAATACAAGCCAGTTGAGCATAGCTGTTTTTCTTCCTTTGATATTATTTCCCTTTCTCTTTGAATAATCTAAATTAGAGGTGTGTGTACAAAATTATTATTTTTTTTGCCTTTTACAATAATCTTGCAGAACCTCAGTTACTATTCAGCCTTGCAACACAATTGTTTTGAACTATTAACTCCCATTTCATAAAAATATTACCATTCTATTTATTGCAACAAAGCCAATAATAGCTTGAGTTCAAGAACTTTGATTCTTTTTGCCAATATCATCCCTGATTTAGGAGAAATTGTCTACAACTGAAATCTGCTTTATCAGATAATAAAGCATTGAGAGTGTCCTCTGTTAGGACTATTTTATTTTCCTATACTCACTAAGTATGGTTCATATTCAAATTTTTGTATATAGTTCATCCAACATCATCTTTAATACACATATATCTCTGTCACTTGTAGTCTTGCATAATCTCTTGCAAATCAACACATATATTACATATGTAATATAACATGCTGCACGTGTTATACATTAGCATATGTATTATATATGTATCATAACATACATGTTGAAATACACATATAATTTGTTCTCTTATATCTTTTTTTAGCTTCCATTTTTTCTCTCTTTTATTAAACCTTACATCCAATTTAACTTTGGCAAACACACATACACACACAAAAATTGCATCTTTCAGATAGCTATACTTAACTACCATTTTAGAGAAGATTTAGGATTCAGAGAAACAAATTTAACAGCTCTTATCAGCAAGCAATCAGCAAAATCCAGAATACAGAAAATTCTACAAGACAAACAAGCCATCTTTTTTTCAAAAAATAAATTGCTAGAGGATAAAAGATAAAAATTAAAAAAGGAAGGGGAAGTTAAGATGAAAAGAAAGTAAATACAATGAGTGGACCTTACTTAGATACAGATTTGAATAAACCAATATTTATAAGACATTTGTGTAAATTAAAATAATATTCTATATTAAAGGATTATTGTTAATTTTAAGTATGACAATTACATTTTGGTTATGTTCAAAAAGTTCTTAATATTTAAAGTTACACACTGAAGTATACAGAAGAAACGATATCATATCTAGGATTATCACTGAAGATGTTTTGAAGTAAAACATCTGTGCTCATGGATTAGAAGAGGCAACAAATATTCTCTCTGACTTGATTTATAGGTTTATTGCAATTCCAATAAAAATCCAAGCATAATTTTTGCCAATATAGACAAGCTGATTTCAATTTTATATGGTGAGGCAAACTAGACTAGCTAAACAATTGGAGGAATCACACTACCTAACTTGAAGACTTACTATAATGCTACAATAATCAAGACTGTAGTATTGGTGAAGGGATAGGCAAACAGAGCAATGGAATGGAATTAGGGAGTCTAGAAATAGACCCATATAAATATGGTCAACTGATTTATGGCAAAAGAGTAAAAGCAATTCAATGAAGAAAGATTAATCTCATCAATAGATTGTGCTGTGACAATTGGACATTCATATGCAAAAGTCACCCTCAATTAAAACCTTCCACATTATAAATAACTTAGAAAGGAGCACAGATCTAAAAGTAAACCTAAAACTATAAAACTTCTAGAAGAAACAGAGGAGAAAATCTGCATGTTCTGGAATTAAGCCAAGAGTTCTTACACATGATACCTACCCAAAGTATAAAATATAAAAGAAAAAACTGAGAAATTAGACTTTTTAGACATGCCAAACTATTGCTTTGTGAAAGTCACCGTTAGGAGAATGAAAAGGCAATGTACAGACTGGGAGAAAATATTTGCAAATCAAACATCTTACAAAGTGTTGTTTTGGAGGGTGCATTCTTGTGCTTGCTATAACATTTCAAACCAATTATGAAGTAATTTGGGCTTACCCATTTGTTACCAAGACTCCGGTTGGCACCAAATCCTTGTTGAGAGCTTCCGATGACCAACGATACAAGTTTTGGGATGACTTCTTATTTGTTAAGTCATGTACTAAAATAATACCTAAAATAATCAGAGAAAATAATGTCAGTACAGGAACAATTCTTCTTTATTTCCGAATTGGCAAAGTGAGACTTAGTAAATAACAAGCATTGAGATGCTTAGTGAACCTAGCATTCTATAGTATGTATAATACTACTCAGACATAATTATTTTAAAATTTCTTCTACAAGTTCTTACAAATAACCTACCAAATTTCCTTTGTCAGTCTAACTTCTAAAAATTCTATAAAATGTCATTAAACTTTTAGAATGTCTTTTCTTTTTTTTTCTTCATTCAACACTTAATGTGTGCCTACTCTGTCTGGTCCTAATTGCAGAACCACCTCATCAAAAAAGAGAATAAAAATACTTCAAGTATATAAGAAATTATATGCATTCAAAAAGCTAACTGCACTCTTCATAGTATTGCACTCTGCACAGTATTGTCACAGACATCATACATACACATATTACTTATTTTCACTAAAAATATTAAATAAAATAAATTAAAACAGTATTGATTTAATTTGATACAACTGTTATTCTTTACCTGGAAAATGTTTTCCTGTAGATTACGTGGGCCTGCCTAATCAACTCAAGAGTCCAATTATTTAGTTCTTTGAGAGATATAGTTAAAAGAACAAAATAAATAATGCCATTAGAAGGGGATAAGAAGAAATAGTCAAGAGATACGAATAATAGAAAATAGATGGACTTTTGAGAGATTGAGGAAAACGATAAAATGTAATGAGGCTCAGAAATACAATTAAACAGAATCAGTTAAGATCCTAGACAGAAAAGAAAAGCAGGTAATTATTCCAATAAGCTATAGATAAAAAAGGAAAAGCTTTCATGCCTAATGAAATTTAAGATATCTTGAGGTCAAAAGACTATAGGTTTTTAAACTCCCAACCTTTTGTATTACCCAGATTCTACTGTGAAGAGAGGATGTGAAACTGATGATTCCTCCATTTTCATGTCAATTTAAAAAAGGAGGGCAGAAGAGTTAGATTTGGCGTCTCTAGATTTTACAGACATTTGTACAATGAAGGTGCTTGTGCATGTCATAGCTGACTTGTTCAAGCTGGCTCAGATAAATCTGTTCTCTCTCCTGGCATCTGGAATAAATAGAGATCTGACAGTTGTCCCCATATCCAACTGCATTCACTCTACCTTCTTCAATGAGGTGTTCTATTAGGCATCAAGGGCACATAATTAAAGACAGATTTTTTTTTAAAAAGGAATAAAGAGCTACCATTAAAAAATAGAGCTGCCTGGCTGGCGTGGCTCAGTGGTTGAGTGTCACGGTTCAATTCCCAGTCAGGGTACATACCCAGGTTGTGGATTTGACCCTCCAGTAGGGGGCATGCAGGAGGGAGCCTATCAATGATTCTCTCTCATCACTGATGTTTCTATCTCTCTCTCTCTTCCTCTCAGAAATCAATTTTAAAATATATAAAAAAAACAGCTAACATTTATTCATCACTTACATGCTACATACTGTACTTTACATGTGTTATCTAATTTGATTTTCAGAACAGTTCTATGAAGTAGGAATTACCTTTATTTTATACATGTGGAAACTGAGGCTCAGAGAGGTTGAATAACTTGCCTTGAACTCAGTTAATGTGACAGTAAAAGATTGAGGAAAAACAGAATAAAGTCTCACTTTAGGGCACAGGAGTGGCAGATATTTTCTCCTCTCCCTATTTCCCAGGTATAAATATCATAAAGCTATGGGTGAGACTTTTGGTTGGGAAAGTGAAAGGATTACAAAGGTTTAGATGAGCTATTAGCTGGACTGGAAGGAGTTCATTTTTTTTTTTTTTAAAGATTTCTATTTAAGGCTCTGCAATTTTTAAAGGCATTTGAGTACTCTTGTTCCTTATTCTCCCTCTTTCATTTGGGTTGAGAGTTCCTGTTTGTATGAGCTAGGAGGGTCACTCTGGGGTCCAGAGCAAAGAAATCAGGTTGACAGCTGATCAGAGTGTGTTCTAATCTTAAAAGAGAAAGAGGTAAAGACATACTTTAGAAATTTTCTTTGGGGATTACCAGCCTAGTTCATCACAGTGGGAAGAAGGTAAGCTCTTGAGGGAAGAATGTTATTACTAAGAATAAAGACTATGCATTTGTGTGTGTGTGTGTGTTTAAGATGTTTTTCTTAATTGATTTTACAGAGCAAGGAAGGGAGAGGGAGGGAGAGAGAAACATCAATTGGCTGCCTCCCCTACTCATCCCCCCACCCCCTTACTGGGGATTGAACCTGAAGTCTAGGTATATACCCTGACCAGGAATCAAACCCGCAACCTTTTGGTGTATGGGATGACAATTCAATCAACTGAGCCACCCAGCCAGGGCTAAAGGGACTTTTTTTTTTTTAAACTTTAAGAAACAGAAATATGTCTCAGTCTTCTCTGTAAAACTAACAAAATATATGCAATTACTTCAGTAATATTCAAGGAAGAGACAAATCATTAATGAATAGTAGGTATAGAAAAGACAGTCAAATAAGTGGATTTAGATGGCTTTCTTCTTTAGCACTTATTAAGTTTATGACTCAATTCCATAAACTTTCTAGGTTTTAAATGGTTTTTAACTTTATTACTTACAATTTTTATCTTTACATTTATTTTGCTCTTAACTTTTTCTCAAAAAGATCTAAACAAAAGTTCAAAAGTGTTATATATCTAAACTTTTCTTTGCCAGATCAGATTGGTATCAACTTTGACAAAGTCATTTGGCTGATATAAACCAAGTTTTATCACTTGATTCTAGTTCTTTTCTTTATCTCCTTTTCTCTAAGAAGTCATCTATGACTATCTTATTGTTTTTTTCACTTATATTTATTCTTTTAATATATGCCATTATCATGTTCTTTCTTGCATGACAATATCATACATTAATGTCACTATCTTATAACTCTTTGGTTTCATTTTTTTTTTCTTTAGGTAGACTGGGACACTTTTGGACAATATTCTATGGTTTATATCCTGTATTCTATAGTTTATATCAAATGACAAGAAGCTTTTTCTCCTTTTTTAAATTTTTTATAGCATCCACAACAGCTTATGACAAGGGAAGATAGTGAAAGAGGAACATAAGGAATGAAGAAGGTACTTAGCAATTACAGCGCTTCCCTAATAGTGAATGAGTATAAATGAGTATTAGCTAAGCATACACTAGGAGGGAAGAGGTGAGATGCCAAATCTTTTGGTACATCAATCAAAGACAAGCTGAAATTATACTTCACAGTACAAGGTTTAAAAAATGAATTTAAGCCCTGACTGGTTTGGTTCAGTGGATAGAGCGTCGGCTTGAGGACTGAAGGGTCCCAGGTTCGATTCCAGTCAAGGGCATGTACCTTGGTTGCGGGTACATCCCCAGTAGGGGGTGTGCAGGAGGCAGCTGATCGATGTTTCTCTCTCATCGATGTTTCTAACTCTCTATCCCTCTCCCTTCCTCTCTGTAAAAAATCAATAAAATATTTTTAAAAAATGCATTTAAAAAAGAGAAGAAGATAAAGAAACGCTATAGGTAAATCACAGGTGTCAGTGGTTCAGTCTCTTGACAAAGAGTAGGCCCTCTATGAATTGCAACTATGACCTCTATCACATGCCTCCATCTAGAAATCTGTTCAAGGTATTTGAATCTCTATACCTGGAGGAATTTTTTGCACCCCTAAAAATACCCTTAAGCATCTCTTTATAATTAATTACATAGGACTCTCTCTAAGGGGAGATGAAAGAAAGAAAGATTTTTAGTTCTGTGACATCTGGTTTAGACTGTGGGATTCCTAACAGCTCTATTGTATTTTCCCAACTGACTAGAGAAATAGCACTCCCAGGGGACAGTGTTTTGAAAGTTCCATGTTTTATGTCAAGTTCCCCAAATACAATTTTATTTCTCAATATTTAGTTTATGACAATAATATAAATAGAAACACTAAACCGAGTAAATATTTAATGTTCTGAATTACATGGTTAGAATCTAGAAATATAAATTTGAATGCGATAGGCAGATTTATATTAAGAGTTGTGAGTCATTACACCTTTCTTAAATTAAGATGAGTCCAGCATCCCACAGCACTCCATATCAGATGATCTGTACTCTTAGACCGTTAATACATGGTAGAAATAAAAAATGCTTTACCATTGATAGAGTTGTAGAATACTGCTCTTGTGCTCTTCACACTGCTGGCACTGCCCACAGAACCTCCAACATCCCATAATTCTATATAGTAGGTCTTCTCTACTGGGGTTCCTTCTTTGTAGTCATGAACCTAAAAAATCAATCCATCAAAATACTTATTATAGCCACTTAGGAAATTGGTAAGCACTCTCATTCCAGTTTAAAGCACTGGACACTACTTATCAGCATCCCTCTGACTCTGATCATCATCTCCTCTCTTTCAAACTTCCTCCCTCTAATTCTCCAACTAGAATAATAATCTTTGACCTCACAGGACTCTATATGTACTTCATTGATCCTAACACCTTTCACAGCTCTCCCTTCCACTTCCAAATCCTCCCTTTCTAACTATAAAATCCATGATTTGTCATTTTAGTCACTCCTTTGCCCCTATTTACATTATATTCACCTGACAAAATTCCAACACTAAGTATATCCACCTTTTAAAAATATATATATTTTTATTGATTTTTTACAGTGAGGAAGGGAGAGGAATAGAAGTTAAAAACATCGATGAGAGAGAAACATCTATCAGCTGCCTCCTGCTCACCCCCTACTGGGGATGTGCCCGCAACCAAGGTACATGCCCTTGACTGGATTCGAACCTGGAACCCTTCAGTCCACAGGCCAACGCTCTATCCACTGAGCCAAACCTGTCAGGGCTATATCCACCTTTTTCTTGATTTCCATGTTTACAACCCAGGCAGCTGAATGTGAAGCTCAGAAAAATACACATTCAACCTGATTGGATTCATTTTAACTTTGAAGCTTCCTTCAGTCAATTGCATACAGTAGTTCATTTCCTATTTTTCTCTCTTAGGTAATTATTTCATACTTTCTCCTCTTTTTCAAAATTTCCAATATATCTTCCTTGTTCTCAAATACAGCTAGTAACCTTGCTTCCTGTGACAGAAACAATCAAAAGAGAACTTCTACAACCTGTTCTTCCCATGTTTACCCACCTCTCTGCATTTGTGCCTGTAAAATCTATTTTCCCTCCATCTATTAAAGATAGGCTGTCTGTGTCCCTAATGACAAATACCCATCTCTTGTGCATGAGATCCCCCTCTTTCTTATCAAAGATGTAGCTCCTCTCACCATCAAATTTTCCTTCTCAGTTGGATAATTGCCACCAGCATATAAATATGCCATAATTTTTCCTATCTTAGAGAAAAAAATTACCTTCTCTTGATTGCATGTATTTCCTTAAGCTATCATGTTGCTTCTCTGTTCCTTTAAATTAATTAATTTGTATTGTTTTGTGTTCACTACACAAAGTCAAGTATCTTTCCATCACCATTTATCCTCCTTTACCCTCTTTTATGTCCCTCCATCCCCTCTCTCTTGTAATCACCATACTGTTGTTTGTGTCTATAAATTGTTGTTTCTTGCTTAATCCTCTTCATTTTTTTCACTCAGCCTCCCAAAGCCCCTCCCCTCTGACAGCTGTCAGTCTGTTTTCTGTATCTATAAGTCTATTTCTATTTTGCTTGCTTGTTTATTTTGTTCATTAGATTCCACATTGAAATCATATGGTATTTATCTTTCTCTGACTGGCTTATTTCACTTATAATACTCTCCATGCTGTCGCAAAAGGTTAAGATTTCCTTCCTTTTTTATGGCTGAGTAGTATTTCATTGTGTAAATGTGCCACAGCTTTTTTATCCACTCATCTACTGATGGACACTTGTGCTGCTTCCAAATCTTGGCTATTATAAATAACTAGGGGCTCAGTGCACGAATTCGTGCACCTTGAAAGGAATTGTGGGCTGCAAGGGTGTGGTGGGCATAGAAGTGTGTCTCAGCCCATCCTCCGCACCCCTGCCTGGCCCCTCCCGCTGTGGCCCCCAGTCCCCTGTCTGCTGGCAGCCCCACTCCCGCTGCCACCGCTCCCACACGCTGATGACGCTGGCCCCGCTCGCACCGGCTGACAGGTGTGGCGCCAGCAGTGGCTGTGAGTGGGGCCGGTGCCATCAGCGGGTGCGAGCGGCGACTGCTGCCACGATCACCCCTCAGGAGCAGGGGGAAGTGGAGAAACCCTCAGGGGCAATCATGGGCCGTCAGCAGCCACTCGCACCCGCTGATGGCGCCAATTGATCGGAACCAGTACCAGGTGCCGGCAGCAGGTATGAGCGGCGGTTCCAGTGCTGGCAGCAGGTGTGAGTGCCAGGTGGGACTGCAGCACGCTGGAGCAAAGAATTTTCAGTAACCACCAGAGGATCGCCCCAATGACAGCGACCAGCGCCCCACCTTGGTCTGGTGTTCCCGCTCACTTGCTCCACCATTCCACTGCGGCTGACGCCTGCCATGTTCCATGCGCACCCCCTGGTGGTCAGCGCACATCACAGCGACCAGTTATTTGGTTGTTTGGTTGTTCTGCTGTTCGGTCTATTTGCATATTAGCCTTTTATTATATAAGACTAGAGGCCTGGTGCACAAAAATTTGTGCACTCGGGGGGGTCCCTCAGCCCGGCCTGTGCCCTCTCGCAGTCGGACATCCTTAGTGCTGCTGAGGAGGCGGGAGAGGCTCCCGCCATCACTGCTGTGCTGGCAGCTGGCAGCCTGGCTTGTGGCTGAGCAGAGCTCCCCCTGTGGGAGCGCACCGACCACCAGGGGGCAGCTCCTGCATTGAGCATCTGCCCCCTGGTGGTCAGTGTGTGTCATAGTGACCAGTCATTCCCAGTCGTTCTGCTGTTAGGGTCAATTTGCATATTACCCTTTTACTATATGCCTGGTGCATGGGTGGGGGCTGGCTGGTTGGCCCTGAAGGGTGTCCCGGATCAGGTTGAGGGTCCCGCTGGGGTGCCTGGCCAGCCTGGGTGATGGGCTGAGGGCCGTTTTCAGATTGGCCACACCCCCTTCAGGGTGGGGGTCCCTGCTGGAGTGCCTGGCCAGCCTGGGTGAGGGGCTGAGGGCCGTTTTCAGGTTGGCCACACCCCCTTCAGGGAGGGGGGTCCTGCTGGGGTGCCTGGCCAGTTTGGGTGAGTGGCTGATGGCTGTTTGCAGGCTGGTCAAGCCCCCCAGCAGGGACTCTCACCCCTTGAGGGTGTGGCCATCCTGGGTGAGGGGCTGATGGCTGTTTGCAGGCTGGCCAAGACCCCAGCAGGGACCCTCACCCCATGAGGGAGTGGCCAGCCTGGGTGAGGGGCTGATGGCTGTTTGCAGGCTGGCCACAGCCCCTTCAGGGTGGGGGTCCTCCCTGGGGTGCCTGACCAGCCTGGGTGAGGGGCTGATGGCTGTTTGCAGACTGGCCACAGCCCCTTCAGGGTGGTGGTCCCCCCTGGGGTGCCTGGCCAGCCTGGGTGAGGGGCTGAGGGCCGTTTTCAGGCTGGCCACACCCCCTTCAGGATGGGGGGTCCTGCTGGGGTGCCTGGCCAGTCTGGGTGACTGGCTGATGGCTGTTTGCAGGCTGCCAAGCCCCCCAGCGGGGACCCTCACCCCATGAGGGTGTGGCCTGCCTGGGTTAGGGACTGATGGCCGTTTTCAGATTGGCCACACCCCCTTCAGGGTGGGGGTCCCCGCTGGGGTGCCTGGCCAGCCTGGGTGAGGGGCTGATGGCTGTTTGCAGGCTGGCCACAGCCCCCAGCCACCCAAGCTCCCAGTGGAGGCTGGCTGGAAGCAGGTATCTGGGATTCACTTTTCTCCTATAATTGAAACTTTGTTGCCTTTAGCGGAGGCCACAGCCAGCCAGTGCAGGCAGGAAGCTTGGCTTCCTCCATTGCCGGGGCAACCAAGCCTCCTGCTTGCTCCAGCTCCGTGGCTGCCGGCCGCCATCTTGGTAGGGTTAATTTGCATATAGTCGCTCTGATTGGCTGGTGGGTGTGGCTTGGGGCATAGCAAAGGTACGGTCATTTTGCATGTTTCTCTTTTATTAGATTAGATCATGCAATGAACATTGGGGCACATATATTCTTTTGAATTAGTGTTTTGGGTTTCTCTGTTCCTTTTTATAGTGACAGCCCCCCAAAGGACTTTTGAGTCTATTCTCAGCTGTGTCTAATTATTCTCTTTACATTCTCTTTTAAACTCATTTCTGTCAAACTTTTTGCCCCAATCACCCCACTGAATGATTCCTTATCAGGGTCACCAATGGCTTCCAAATTGCTAAATCCAATGATCAATGAACAGTTTTCATCTTACTCTACCATCTAACACAACTAGTCACTCCTCTGCCTTGCAATACTTTCTTCACTTAGCTTCCAGAATATCACACTTTCCTGTTTTTCTTCCCACCTCACTGGCTAATCTTTTGCAGTCTCCATTTGGGTTGTCCTTATCTCTTTATCCTTTAATTGTTGGAGTGTCTTAAAAGATTTTATTTTATTTATTTTTAACCAGATGCCCGGTACATGAAAATTCATGCACTGGAGAAGGGGGTCCCTCAGCTTGGCCTGCCCCCACTCACAGTCCAGGAGCCCGCAGGGGCAGGAGGCAACCCGATGATCAGGGGAAGGGGACGCCCCCATCACGCCTCTGCTGCTGCCACTGCCGGCAGCGCATGCCTTGGCTGGTCCTGGTTACCTGAGCCTCAGGTGGCCCTGGGCGGCTGCCATCCGAGGCTTGCCTGCGCCTCGGGCCAGCTGTGGGAGGCTGGGGCACTCAGGGCGGGTCCAGCTGCACCGTGCACCTGCCACCCCCTGGCGGGGCTGAAAGGACTCAGGGACTCCAGCAGGGCTGAGGGGACTGGGTGCCACCATCTTTGTGACAGTTAATTTGCATATTCCCTCTTTGTTAGATTGAATTTTAGAGAGAGAAGAAGGGAGAGGGAGAGAGAGAGAAACATTGATGTGAGGGTGAAACATCGATTGCCTGCCCCCTGCCCACCCCCGCCCCCCACAAGCTTTGAGCCTGCACCCTGAACATGTGCCCTGACCAGGAATCGAACTGGCAACCTTTCAGTGCATGGGATGACATCCAACCAACTGAGCCACACCACCCAGGGCTAATCTTATGATTTTAAATGTCCTATGTTGATGAATTCCAAATTTTTATCCATCCTGGACCAATTCCTTGAACTTCAGAGTAACATAGCCACCAGACTACAGTTTGAATGTCTAACAGATACCTCAAATTTAACATGTAAAAATAACT